TTGGAAGGGGCCTACAAGGCCATCAAGTCCAACCCCTTGCTCAATGCAGGAATACAATCAAAGCATATCTTCAAAATACTTGAAGATGGCTACCATATCATCTTTCAGTCTTCCCTTTTTAAGAACAAACATATCCAACTCCCTCAAATGCTCCTTGCAGAACTTGGTTTTCAGGCTCTTTAACATTTTCCCACCCTGCTCTGCATACATTCCAGACTCTACATGTAACTGCAGGACCCAGAGCTGGAAACCATATTCCTGGTGAGGTATGACCAAAGCAGAGTATTATAACATGAAAGAATGGAATTACTGATTTCCTTGAACTAGACACTATGTCAAAATCCTCTTTTATAGCCACTCTAGTATAATGGCAATGCCATAACATTTGGAGATTAATCTCCTCAAATTAAGAAATCATCGTAGACATCTATTGCCTGTTGAGACGCATGAGCCCTTCCCTAACTGAATTATTTTACTATGGATTTGTGGATTACAATCTAATGATGGATGACAAACTAATGACTCGATGAGCAATAAAAGGTATGTGGTGATTTCTTAATAGGAAGCAATTTACGTGACTCGGTGAGCAATAGGTGGTGATTTCTTAATAGGAAGCAATTTACCTCTCAAATGTTCTTCTTTTAGCATTATCCCACTGTAACTATGGAAGAGGATTTTGGCCTTTAAGTCTATTGATGCAGGCCAGAATGACGTTAACTTTCTGCCACATCACTCTTGACCCATGTAGCTCATCGCTGGATTGTAATCCACAAAAACTAAGAATAACTAAATCTGTTATTCCACCACTGGAGTTTTCATTTTTGTCATAAGTCCTGAAGCAGGTTGACACAGCTGCCTCTTTGAAAATTAAGACTGATTTATCCTTTTCACACTTAACTACTGCCAAGCCTGGTGTCATCCATCCTGTATCCATCCATCTCTTTAAAAAATGGGATGTGTGACTCCAATGATTTTTAAAAGACATGATCTATGAAGATCATTAACAGAGTATGTATTCATCAAACCTCTGCCAAGCAGTAATATAAATTTTAGGGATCAATTAGAAAATTTTTGAAAATAGCAATAATTGTAACAATGACATGAAATCCAGTAGGCACACCTTTATTAGAATCAACTGTAAATTCCCAAATATGCAAGTGTTCACATTTTCTACGACTTTTCATCTAGTTAAATAATTAAACATTGGGGGTACACATGAAAAAATTAATGCCCTAAAATATATGTGTCTTTCTTTAGAACTACTGTGTTTCCCTGAAAATAAGACAGGATCTTATATTATTTTTTGCTTCAAAAAACACATTAAGACTTATTTTCAGGGGATTTTTTTTCATGTACATCAATCTACATTTATTCAAATACAGTCATGTCATCTTCTTCTGGTTGCTGCGCAATGATGGAGGGCATGGTTTCACTTAACTGGGGCGTATTTTTGGGCTAGAGCTTATATTACGAGTATCCTGAAAATCATAGGCTTATTTTCAGGTTAGGTCTTATTTTCAGAGAAACAGGGTAAATCCATCCACCCTTTCCCCTGTGCAAACTGATAATGGGTCCCATGAGGGGTTTTAGCTCAAGGAGGGCAATTATTTTGTTTTGGTTCCATCTAAATATAAATATTGGTGCGTCTAGTTGGAAAAATTCCAATAGATTTTAGTATATGAAAGCACAGGAGGGGGAAACCCTCTGTTTTTGGAATACAGTAAGTATGTTTGTATTTTCAATAATTTATCCAATTAGCAGGGTAATTTTTGCAATCTTTTGCCAAAAATGCACCTCTGCACTCTACATAGGACAGACAGGACCATCTCTGTGCAAAATAACTAATGGACATACTGTACAGTAAATTGAACATCAGTAATGGCAATATACAGAAACCTGTTTCAAATCATTTCAATCTACCTGGAATCAGGATTTAAAAGTTGCCATTCTGGAGAAGAAACATTACAGAACAAGGATCCAGAGGGAGACAGCTGAGATAAAATATATTTCAAATCATTTCAGTCTACCTGGAATCAGGATTTAAAATTTGCCATTCTGGAGAAGAAACATTACAGATCAAGGATCCAGAGGGAGACAGCTGAGATAAATGTTTGTATTTTCAATAATTTATCCAATTAGCAGGGTAATTTTTGCAATCTTTTGCCAAAAATGCACCTCTGCACTCTACATAGGACAGACAGGACCATCTCTGTGCAAAATAACTAATGGACATACTGTACAGTAAATTGAACATCAGTAATGGCAATATACAGAAACCTGTTTCAAATCATTTCAATCTACCTGGAATCAGGATTTAAAAGTTGCCATTCTGGAGAAGAAACATTACAGAACAAGGATCCAGAGGGAGACAGCTGAGATAAAATATATACATATGCCTGAAACCCATCTCTATGGATTAAATATTAGTCAAGGGTTCTTAAACTATTACCAGATGTGAAATATCACGATAATTATGTAATCTGCTGTTAATTTTTACAGCCCAGGTTCCTTCCCAACTAGTTAGTGCTACTTTTACGGAGCAAGCTTCAAAGGTAAAGTCAGGATTCTTATATAAACATTTATGTAACACCATAACTACTACAGTATATTGTTTCTGCTGTTATCTATAGCCTGGGGTTCCTTTACCCACTAACCATTGTCGCTTTTTACAAAACAAAGCTGCAAAGGTGAAAAAATCCAAGAATGCATTAATAGGTATGTTAGCACCCAATTTTAGGTTTCAGTTGGTTTCAGTTCTCCGGCAGGGAATAACAGATAAAGACAGTGCGTCAATCAGACTATATGTCAGTCAATTTTTATTAAACATATAGCTGGACCTCGTCTTAAAAGACAGATCGGGGCCCCATCATGCATGTGGTACAACATTTTATAAGATTCTTACACAAAATACAATAAGCACAGCATCCCCTTATTGGTCTCCTGAACCTTATAGGTGCCTGTTAGATCATCCTATTGGCCGTGGTAGAGGTGAGAAAAATATCCAAATTGCATCCCAGGGCTAGTGGCTGCCAAGTTTGTGAATGTGTGAACCATTGTGCAGCTTATCTTTAAATATGTTAATGACTTAACAGTCTTTGCCTGGAGCGCTGTGAGTTGGTCTTGAATGGGGGGAGCTGGTTCTCACAAAGCTGTGTGATAATGTAGGAATGTTTCTGTTAGCGCCAAGCGGAAGGGTCAGGAGATTCAATACTTTGAGATGAAATGAGGATACAAAATACATTGACTATAAAGAGTGCATATAAAGTACAGATCGTTATAGTAAGGAAATAGTAAATCATATTTGCCCTCTATCAGGTGTGCCACGGTTACTCAAATGTGCGAATTGTGTCTAACCAAACAAAATTGTTTCTTTATTGTTGAGCCATTCACAAATGTTTGCCATGTATGTAGTCTCACTCTTGTCTGAGAAAGTGGACTTGATCCATCAAAAGCTCATATTAAGATATACATAGCAGTTAGTCTTTAAGGTGTCACAATGCTTTTGTGTCTTCTTTACCTTTTGCTTTGTTTCTTGCAGGGTATAAAAGTGTAAGAAAAATCTGAACCTGCCCAGTCTAATTTAGTGACTAGTATTTATTTATTTATTACTTCCGTCTAAACTCCGAGGGAGTGTCATTCGGTTTTGGCGTATCTATTTTTATTTTTGTTATCTATTTTATGAGTTGTAACCCGTAACCCGCCAAGCTCCGGGAGGCAATGGAAGTCAAGAGGGCCTGGCGGGCTCTCGTCCATGGAATCACGAAGAGTCGGACACGATTTAACGACTAAATAACAACAAAACCTCCAAGAGTCGTGCTGTGACACTAGTGGGAGTGGATAGAAATTAAAAATAAGTAAATAAATAAATAAATAAATAAATAAATAAATAAATAAATAAATAAATATAAAATTTTTAAAAAGCAACCTTGGAGGTTGTTGGGTCCTTTTTTTGGAAAGTCTATTTTAGGGCTGTTTAAATTGGTTTAAATCTAAATCTCTGCTTTTCATGGGGTACAGTACAGTATATGTTTCTAAAGCTATTGACTAATACACTGGTCTGCTAATGGATTTTTCATAAATGTCAAAGGTCAACCAAAGACGGTAGTCAGAGGTTTATTTTAAAGGTGGGTAAATTGGTAGGTTGAAGAGCGGGATTATATGGGATTAACGAAGGCACAACATGAGGGTCACCAGGGAAAGCCTTTTAAAACTACTGTACAACATGAATTCGTACTGTGGATCCACCCTTTTAAGGTAGGCCTCAAAAGGCCCGCATTGCCATAGCAACAGCTGAGCCAGGCACGGGCCAATAGAAAAGGAGGACTTCGGTCCACCTTCTGACCAAGTTTTAAGAACCGCCGAAGAACGGGGGGGGGCTAAATTAAACGAGGGGGATTTAAACCGTCCCTAACGTCATTTCTCGGAGGAGTCAAGTTTGTTTTCTTGAAAGAGATAAAGAGAGGCGGGACTGGCCGCCTCGGAGCGAATGAAATACCCCGGCTCCCGAAACCAACCAATCGTAGCTCAGTACCCTGCCGTTCGCGGCAAGCAAGGAGGCGGCCAAGAGAGAAAGGGAGAGACGGCGGGGGTTGGGGGCAGGAGGAGGAGGAGAGGCGGGCTAGTCCAATCAGGACGGGCCTTCTGAGAACGGGCTAGCCAATGGCAGAGCGGCCAGCGAACAAAAGGCGCTTCCTGAGGGCCCGCCCCCTTCCCCCCACTTTCCGAACAATTTCGTATGACGCAGCGGTTGGAGCCGGAGGAAGAAGGCGTTCGCGAGCCGCAGGGGCCGCCGCCATTTTGTGCGTGTGTGGAGACTTCGCGTGAGGGGGGAAGCGAGAGCGGTTTGAGGGGGGGCCACCAACGGACGGCGCTGCGGCTCGAGACGGGAACGGCGGCGGCGGAGCGGAGGATGATGATGAGCTAAGAAGGGGCCTGCGGGAGCCTAGCGTCGTCGTCAGCAGCAGCAACGACTACAACCGACACACCGGGGGCGGCGGCGGCGGCGGCGGCGGCGGGTGGAAGGGTTGCTGGGGGCCCGTCCCGTCGGTTCTCTCCTTTGCAGGGGGGGAAAAAGAGGTCGGCCCTTCGCGCGGCCTGTCAAGCTCGGCGGGAGGGAAAGGATGTCGGGCGACGGGAGCAGCGGGAGCAGCGCCTCCAGCACCACGGCGGCCGCCAGCACCGCCACCAGCACCACCACCGCCGCCTCAGCCGCCTCAGAGGGCGGCGGTGGCGGCAGCGAGGACGCCTGCCGCGACTACCAGTCGTCGCTCGAGGACCTGACCTTCAACAGCAAGCCGCACATCAACATGCTGACCATCCTGGCCGAGGAGAACGTGCCCTTCGCCAAGGACATCGTCTCGCTGATCGAGGCGCAAATCGCCAAGGTTTTTATACACTCTAAGCCGAATAC